GGACCTGTGTCTATATCCCATTCAGGGAGGTGTTGGTTGTTCGGCAGGTTGAGCATTATATTACATTATTATTATATCCCTTAATTCCTAGAGGAACATAGGGCTTCAGCTGCTCATCTCCATTGCCTTCTGTTTTCTGCCAGCTTTTTCACTCCGTTCCAAGTCTGCCCACATGCTTTCATCTCCTCTTCACATGACCTCCTCCAAGTCACCCTTGCACTGACGACCAACTCGCCGCTTCCCTTTCGGGTTCCACTCGAGCAATGGCTTGTCTAGTGATGTCACTTGATGGTCTAGTCAGTGTATGGCCAGCCAATACACCTCCATTTCTTCGTGATTATTTGTTGCTCAATCGGTTCAAGCTGTGTTGGTTCGCTCATTGCCAGAGATCCCTGTTGCTGATCTTTTCTGGCCATCTGATCTTGAGTATTGAGCGAAGACAACTGTTAATGAAGGTCTGAAGTTTGTTGGAGATGCCCTTTATGACGCGCCAAGTCTCTGTTCCGTAAAGTAGCACTGACTTCACATTGGAGTTGAAAATCCGAATCTTATTTTTGATGGTGAGTGCTGTTGACCTCCACACAGACTTAAGAGTAATGAAAGCCTATCTTGCTTTTCCGATTCCAGCTTTGATATCCTCGTCAGTTCCGCCTGTAGTTGAAACGATGCTTCCCAGGTAGGTAAAGGAGGTTGTTTCTTTCAGGTTCCTCCCATTTATGCTGACTGTCGTCTGTTGTTGTTATTGCTGTTGGTGTTGGCCAAGAATCTTCATCACCTCTGTTTTATCTATGTTCACTTGAAGTCTTTGATGCTTCTTCTCCCAACTTGTTGCTTTTCACCTGCATATCTTCCAGTTTGTGGGAAATCAGACATATATCATCGCGGGCGAAGTCCAGATCCTCCAAGCTTTTGTGTGAGTCCATTTTATGCCTGTTTCCTCATTGCTCGCTGTCTGTCGATCGCATTATCCAATCGACTGCAATCAAGAAGATCATTGGCGATAGTAGACAGCCTTGCCTCACTCCCGTCCTCACTTCAAAGGCTTCCGTAAGTTTCCCGTTGTGGATTACTTGGCATGCAGCATTGTCGTATAACTGTTGGATGAGATGTATAATTGTCGATGGGACCCCGTAGTAGAGAAGTAGTTGCCAAATGACCTCTCGATCGACGCTTTTGGATGCCTTTTTTGCATTGACCTAAGTCTCCCTTCTTTGGTAGTTTGAAAAAGTATCCTTTCTACCAATCCTCAAGTACTTTGCCCTCTTTCCACACCTCCTCCAGCAGTGGCGTCATCAACTCCGCTGTTGTCTCTGGGTCTATTTTCAAAGCTTCTGCTGGGATTCCATCTGGTCCTGCTGCTTTCCCAGCTTTTAGCATCTTGATTGCATTCAGGACTTCTGATTTTGTCGGGGGGTCAACGTTCACTGGTAGTTCTGCTTCCGTTGTTGGCATCCTTGAGCATGGCTGTGGGCCAATTAAACTGCTCCTCATAGTGCTCTTTCCAGAGTTCCAGTCGTCTGTCGTGGGAGCTGATTATGGTGCCAATTTTCTCCGAGATTGTTTCACTTATCATCTACCTTTTGCCACCTGTTTCACTGATAAGTCTAAATAGTTGTCTGGTGTTGCCAATCGCCGATGCCTTTTCCACTTTTTTCGCTTTTCTCACCCACCACTGTTCACGGTCGTTGCAAAGACTTCTTGTTAGTTTTCGTTTGAGTAGCTTTCGCTCCTCATCATAATCGGTGCTCGCCGGAATCAGTCTTCCTGCGTCAATCAGTTCGGATGAGGCGGTGGACATCCAATGTCTCTTACTAACTTTTGTTTTTAGCTTATTAACAGCTTTCACAGCTGTGTCTACAGCTAACTGTACGCTGTGCTAGGCTAATTCAGGGGAAGTCGTGCTGTCGATCTCAGAAACCCGTTTTGGCATTTCTTCTTTAAATAGAGACGCAGTGTCTCGATCTAGTTGGGGACGTGACTATTTCGCTGCCGTCAATATCTTATGTCCACTTAGTCGTAAGCATAAACGTGCGCGAACCAGAGCGTGTTCGGAGTCCACACACGTTCCAGAAGGAGCAACAGTCTTCTACTGACCCTCGCCAACGATACCCTATGGCTATGTGGTCTATCTGAGTACAGTGTTGGTTTGATGATGGAGGTCACCAGGTCAAACAGTGTCTCTCCTAGTGTTTGATGTTAGTGATTACAAGAAACGAAAGATTATCTGAACGAAACTGTAGAAGACGATCACCGTTGTCGGTTCGTCGGCAGAGAACTCCATACGTACCACCTACATATTTCTCAGTTCAGCACAACTTCCCCACTTGGGCACTGAAGTCGCCTGCAAAAACAACCATATTTGAACGTTTTGCTTTTTGCAGCAAATTAGACAGTTTCAGATAGAAATCATCCTTTAATTCATCAGAACTGCAGTCTGTTGGGGTGTAAGCGGAGACTACGGAAAGGCAACGACGGGTAGCTCCGTCTTTCCTTCTTTTAACGGACCCATTCAGACGGACCGCACACATACGACTATCTACTGGGATCCAGTCAAGAAGTGACTTTTTTGCCCTAACACTCAGGGCTATTCCTACACCTGCGAGTCCTCGAGAGCTAGCTGAGGGGTCTCCTGACACCCTTAAAGTGAATTTCGCAGATTCAATCTTGTTGACCGGATGAGGTTAAGTGAATGACCACACTCCGGTCTTGTATCCGTGTCTCCGAAATACAACATACATCCATGGCTCGAGATTCCAGAGTTCGTGCTAGTGAAGCGTGTTGTCCGATTTGGCAGAGGGTCCTGACGTTAAATGCTCCTATATGAAGTTGGCGACTTGGCTTTAAAAGACTATCTGGGATGTTTCTATGGCTCTCATCATTATTTGTGGTCTGTCTGTCTGTTTTCGACATAAAACTTTGCACAAATGTGCGGAAGTTGAAGTCGCCACACTCCGTGTAGCACGCGAAGTAAGAGAAGAAAGTACAAGAAAAGCATAATAGGAACAGTGAGCAGAGGTGTGAGACAAAGGAGTAGTAAAGAAAAACAAAAGTTTGTGGTCACAGAGTGAAGTGAAGGTACCTCACTAACCTGAAGAATAAGTACTAACTGTAGTAGGGGAATAAGATGAAGATGATGTGGGTTGAGGAGAATGATGCTCAGGAAGGCTTCATGTGCTTTTGGAAGTGTGTGGGCGACTGTTACTTCCCTGGCCGCCCACACCATGGAAGTTGATTAATTCTTCGGGTAGCTGAAACAGAGTGAGGGTTAGTGTTGCGTGACCACAGAGCCCAAGGGACAACTGCTTGAGGTCGGTCTCCATGGCCTGTATGAACTGATTTCTCGGATTGGTTCAGTATTAGTAAACTTACCGATGGTTATGGACCATCGTATGGCAAGTCGGGATGTACAATTTTTCTAGGTAAACAGGGGAAATCAATCGACGAAGTCGTGAAGCTACAAAGACTGAGATGGTTAGGACATATGTTACGTATGCCAAGCCATCGCCTCCCTCGACGAGCTATGTTAGCGGATATAGGGTCAGGCTGGAAAAAAGCTAGCGGCGGTCAAACAAAAACTTGGCACCAGTCTATGAAATCCACAACAGTTGGTCTAAGCCACGTAGAAAGGTGTAGACTTCCAGGCTGGGGTCCTCGGGACGGTAAAAATCTATGGTTGGAAACAATTGGTGACATGGCTAAAAACCGTTCTCAGTGGCGCAGATGCATCCACTCCTTGTGACTTATGATCTTCAATGAAACTGTTTTGTATTTCTTTATTACTCCTTTGTCTCACACCTTTGCTCACTGTTTCTATTATGCTTTTCTTGTACTTTCTTCTCTTGCTTCGCGTGCTGCACGGAATGTGGCGACTTGAACTTCCGCACATTTGTGCAAAGTTCTATGTCGAAAACAGACAGACAGACAGACATGTACAATTTTTGGGGTCGACCTTTTCTAACCCCATCTCTCCGGAGTGGAGAGCATTGCTGGCATGCTGATCATCTGAGGGCAACACCTTACTGCTGTTACATCCCTGTTCGCCAGCAATACGATTTCGCCCTCAGACCCCCAGCATTTATTTATTATTTATTTAAACGCATAAAAACTTGGTACAATATGGCACCAGGAAGGATGCACCACACAATAATAATAAAACAAGATAGATCAAAAGAAAAAAGAAAGAGAAATATATATATATATATATAAGTAGAGAATGGATAAAGAACTTCATCTGGAAGGAAAACAGTCATGCTTAACAAGTTCAAACGGTATTCGTTAACCATCATCGGGAAGGGAAGAAAGAAGGAAATTGCAACACATGTAATAGCACGCGATAAGTTTCATTGATTGTTTGTTGCTTCATTCAATTCATTGTGTGAGGGTTGAGATACTGCCCGGGCGCCCAGACCGAAGCAGGTGGTTTTATTAAGGGACCACCCCCCCGAGCCTTTGACTTGGAGTCCAATCCGCAAGGCAGCGGAGCAGCGTCAGGAGCTGCATTCCCATGGTTTCCGGTGACCCATATGGATTCATACGCCATTTGATCCGATTGGATACTGAAGCCCATGTACTCCATGGTAACTGCTTTTAGTTTAACCGCTATCCAAACAACCTTCCTGACATGGTAGGACCTGCAGGGACAGAGTCCCAGTCAGTTTGGCATGTTGGGTCATTACGGTATTCAAGCCCGACCACCACGACAAGGTAGCGGTTATCGGCCGGGACCTCAGCACAGTGTAAAAACAAAATGTCTTACACTATGCCGGTAACTACTTTTAGTCTAATCCCTATCCTAACAACCTCACTGGCATGGTAGGACCTGCAGTGTAGCTTGTTGGGTCATCGCGATGTGCAACCCCGACCACCACGTCAAGGTAGCAGCTATCGGTCGAGCTACCAAGTCGCATTCATTGATTTTTGACGAAAATTAGCACTAGTTTAGAGGTGAAACAGATATTAATTCCAAAAGACAAATAAGGTATGTATAGATGTGCGCTTACTATGAACAGAAACCGTTTCTTTCTTCTCCCCACGTGGTTGCGACTTAGCTGCCCCTTTTTTATGAGTTTTATTCATGAAACGAACCACCAACAGATTGACTCCAAAGCATAATGCTATTCCAATCATTACTACTCCATAAAATCCAAATCGCCCAGTTTCGGAAAAGTTTGCGAGTATAGGGTATGGATAAAGATTATGCATACGTATTAGGAATTCCACACTAAAATGAGATAGTTTAGAAAAACGTAACATAATATTACCCTTGGGTTGTCACAAAAGCAATTTGACAGAAAACAACAGTTCGAATGCAGTATTCATATTTCGAATTAAAGTAGTCAGTTGCACAGAATGCTAGTGAAGCACTTAAATGCATGTGAGACATCAACTTACCGAAATAGAAATAATCTTTCATTTCTTAACTATACATTTGTCATTTAAGTATCAGATTAATCAACTTAAACCACTAGATAAGATCTGACCATCTGTCAAATGGGTGTTAATGTAAAGCTCATATTTATTGGATTACATTCAAATAATGAGTCACGAAGCAAAAATTCGTCAACAACTTAGTCCTCAGTACACAAATAGTATGACATGTACTCCACGTTTTTCACAGACACGTGCGTTTACATGTTATAAAGTAGCATCTTTTATTGGTTGCTTCGCTGATATATCGAATTGAGGCTTACAGATTAATACGGAACCGTAAGTTCTAAAGAAGAGCACTGCTTACTATTGCCAAGACAGCGACCAACCTGTGGACATATATAATGGAAGGTCAGATACAACTGCGCCAGTTATATCGTACTAAGTTGTAATACTCCAAACAGACAAATAAATCGACAGTATTAACAACACAAAAACGATCGAAGGCAGTACAGAAAATCTTATCCCACTGAAGTGGATGTTTGTGGAACACCAGAAGTGTGTCAAATACTCAGTAAATAGATTCCCGTAACTGCAATTGAATTACGATGTGCAATTTTGGCGGATGTGTATCAACATAGAGAATAGAGTGAGATACTTTAAATTAGTAATATTTCGAATAATGGTATATAGTTCTAAAAAGTTATTGCAAAATGGAAAAATAACAGGGTTTTCGCTCTACATGTAATAAATCAATGTGCAGAAGTAATCATTACTAACAAGAACACTTAATGACATTAAATACCACACACTACATGCAACCACGGAAACACCCATTGGGGCATTTGTTTAGAGTGATATTTTCAACTCTGGGAAACACTAAGATGACGCGATACTAGTTGCATGCGCCTCTTATAATTATTTTAAGGTAGAGGCGAAACAAGGTCTTATTAATATTTTCTGCCGTTAAAAAAATTGGTCTTGCTTTTCTCAAGTCTGTATGATAAGCTGAAACCCTGGTCAGCGTGACAATCGAAATAGCATCTGCCAGCTCAGGTTCACTTCCGTGATACCGTTTATTCTGTTGAGTTTCCATGAGTATGTGAACATCGTGCATGACATCACTGAGTAAGACCTCAAGATGTATTCAAATTACATTACATTACCAACCAACGCTTTCTGCTTTCACATCAGCCTCCAACTCATTATCAAATAAAAATTGTGAGGGCATCAAACGATAATGCTAGTCGTTTCACTGACCAGTGATGTCAACAGGACCATTCGAATGCTTATTGACAGCAAAAGCAATGCAATAACCCTACTCGTACATATGAAAAATAATTCCAGATTGTAATTTCATCTTAGCTATATAATAACATCTATCTGCGAAAAGCACGAATAGTGAGGACAATCTTCGAAGAGATAGGCACACATATCCCTCACATTTCACATTTTGTACATTTCAAGTTCATGTTTACATAAAATCAACGCAACACATTTAGGGAGCGATAACATCCGACGCAAAAAACCGAATCCTACTGAAACCGTGAGTTAACTCGGTACTACTTCAACTTAACCGAAAATGCAGACATCAAAACCAAAGATGGAGGATTCATGGGGAAAGTAATACTAGTTGTTGCGTCTTACGTTGGAAATACCATGAAAAAGACATCAAAAGTCTTACCGCAATAAAAATGTGTCAACATACAAGATAAACTTGAAACCTACTACATCAAGTAGCTACCAAAGTATGCTACGAGCATTAAGACTGCTCTTCGTACAGGAACACTTGTCGGTTTCCATAGTAAGGCATCTAAAATTATAGCGAGGCTTCCCACAGAATGCTGACGCATAATTTTCAACTGGCCGCACTTACACATGAATGATTATACCATGATGGGAGTGTCTTCATTTTCATCTCTGACGGTTTCACTAGTAAACCCTTGTCTACCATGAATATACTCCAGAATAAAACGCATACAACCTGGAAAGTTAAAGTGAACATTCACTTACTAAATTGGATGTAAATGTAACAGAGTACAAAGCGCTATGCCATTTTAGAGCTTTACAGTATTGCAAAGGAGCTGCCAGCGCGTAGTAAACAATCTGCAGCAGCTGGAATACAAAGTTTAATCATTGGTAACACATTCACCACATACCATAGTCAGACATGTAAGAAAGCGCAGTAATGCTATGACGTTATCCAGTGTAAATTTGGTATCTCCATTAAACACAAGGATAGTATAATGAAATATATACACGAAGAAACTTAGAGCTGTTACACGATACAATATGCTGAACAGAGCCGCCATCAAATTTCGCAAGTCAACCTTGGGCAAATCAAAGTACTACAATGTGATTCATAAGAACAACTAGTGTTCAATGAATGGAAAGAGTAAGTCTTTGGGGGAATATTTGGTCACCCTCTTCTTCTTGGCTTTCTCTTTAGTGAAATTACTCCTCATGGAGATATTGGTTAAGGTGCCTGCAAAATTTGGGCTACCGATACCCATGCTGAATATTCCATACTTGTGCCAAAAATACTGTGTGGAATCAAGATATAAATCAAAAATCAAAATGAAAATCAAATCAATATCGTTTTTACGAGCTAGTATAAACCAATTTGATTGTTTTTGCTCACTTCTTGATTGTAAGGTATAGGTTCCTGATCTTCGGTAAACTTCTGCGTAGCTTGTCCCTCCACTCGACTGTCTTAGCTTTGGTTCCAATATCCAATATCATTTTTACGAGCTAGTATAAACCAATTTGATTTCTTTGTGCTCGCTTCTTGATTGTGAGGTATAGGTTCTTGATCTTCGGTAAACTTCTGCGTAGCTTGTCCCGCCACTCGACTGTCGTAGCTTTGGTTGACTCCAAAGGGAGTAGTGCTGGGATTAATTATATGTGGTTTGTAGTATGAGGTATGTTAAGACTGTTACTACTGTGATTGGAGTTGATCCTTTCGCCAGTTAGTCCTTCGGTATTGTCGACAAGAGAAAAGAGATAGTAATAATAATAATAGATATAATTAGTGAAGCTATTCAGACTAAGAGACAGAAACGAAAATAGGAAACGTAACAACAGTCAGCTCATTAAGTTTGAAGAATAATATATATATCGGTAATAGTAATAATAATAATATAGTAATTATAATATTAATAAGTTGTCAGGAGAGTAAGACGGGAGAGAATGTAAAGAAGTAAAATGACGAGTTTAATTATCTACCCTGATTGGTAAATGCGATTTTAAGGAGATAGGCCATTTGGATGCAGTCCTTGTATCGCTGCATGGTTGTCCAGCCTTCGCTTAAAGGCGTCCAAAGACGGTGCCATAGCTACATCTGCCGGTAAGGAATTCCAGGGACGACAAACCCGCAGTGAAAAGAAGTGGGAGCGCACCCGGGTCCTTGCCCTCTGGTGAGCTATCCTTCTGGGATTTCCACGTGGAAGCCTATACCTACTCAATGGCAGAACACCTTTGTTTGGGTGATTCTGGTCATTTGTTATTTTGTAGGCAGTAATCAAATCCCCCCTAAGCCGACGGTAACTAAGTGTGAACAGGCCTAATTTCTTCAGCCTTTCATCATATGGTTTGTTTCGGAGACCAACCACTCCTTTTGTTGCCCGTCGTTGGACTCTTTCCAAGAGGTTGGCATCTCTTCTCAGCATTGGGGGTGCAATAATATTATGCACCTCAAGGTGTGGCCTGACGTATGTTTTGTACAACATTAGAAAGAGCTCAGGAGTGAGTGCACCTAACTGTCTATGCGTAAAGTGTATGACCGCATATGCCCTCGCTACATCCCCTGTGTAATTTACGCTTGTGTCCATTTTTTCCGTTAGAACTAGACCTAAGTCGCGTTCCGACGTTGTGCAGGACAAGCTTTCATTGCACAGGGTGTAACTTGCATTCTGCAGTCTACAGGTGCGCAACTTCACTACTTTGCACTTTTTCAAGTTGAAAGTCATGCCACTGGCCACCGCCCAGTCTTCCAGAAGGTTTAGGTCTTCCTGTAGCCTATCTGAGTCCTCCGGACACTTTATCGCCCTCCATATTTTTACGTCGTCAGCGTACAGGAGAGTCGGGCAGCTCAGACGGCGTGGTAGATCATTGATGAAAATCAAAAACATCAGTGGTCCTAGGATAGAACCCTGCGACACTCCTGATGACGATCTGTGCCAAGATGATCGGACTCGGTTAACCTTAGTGCAAAATTGCCTGTCGGCTAGGTAGTCCTTCAACCATGACAGAAGTGGCTCACCTATGCCTGCCTTGCTTATTTTATGTAGGAGAAGGTCATGGTGAACAGTGTCAAATGCCTTCTCAAAGTCTAGGAAGACCACATGGACTGGTACGTTCAAGTCCCAGCATGATGTCCAGTCGTCCCAAGCTGACAGTAGGTTAGTGACGCAGGATCTGCCTTTTCTGAAACCATGTTGGGCTTCATGTAGTATATTAGTCCTATCGAAATATTCCCTGATGTGGTCGTCAATAATACTTTCCAGTACTTTTGATACCACTGGGAGTAGAGCTACTGGTCTATAGCTAGCAGCGTTTTGCCTGTCCCCACCCTTGAAGATTGGAGAAAGGATGGCTCTTTTCCACTCCCTTGGCAGGGTCCCCGAATCCATTGAGTGTTGGAACAAGTCGCACAGGGGTCTACAGAGAGCCTCGGCGCACTGTTTCAGAACAGATGGCCTGATGTCATCACAACCTGGGGACTTCCCAGGTATGAGTCGCTGTAGCTTCCTTAGTACTATTGCGGGGTTTATTTGGGGAGTAGTCGCTAGGTCTTCCTCCTCTGAAATAGTGGTGCCACCATTTTGGTCCGTAACTGTAATATCCACATTGCTGTTTAGCTGTTTAGCGAAGGCTGAACTGAATGTTTCAGCCATCTCCAGACTAGTGAGATATTGACCGTTTGGGCCTACTAAGGCGCATGCCCCTTGGTTTGTCGGTTTTCTTTCCGACATGAATCGGTACAAGTTTTTAGGGTTTGATAGGAGTTTTTTAGCAAGGTTAGCCTGGAATGACCTTCTGTCCCTCCTGACTCTTGCATTACACCGGTTCCTGAGTTCGAGGTATGCATCATGGTCGGTCTGACTCTTAGATACACGCCACGTAAACCAAGCCTTCCGCTTTGCTTGCAGAATACGTTGCGTGCCTCTCTTCAACCATGACGTCTTTCTCTTAGGCTGTGTTGTGACTAAAGGGACGGTATCCGAGATTGCTGTATGGATAATCTTTTTTACCACTTCCCAGTGTTCATCCACAGATAGGTCGTCCCATGCTAAGGGCCAGTCTGCGTCGGACAAGAGCCTCCGCATTTCAGCATAGTCAGCCTTGCTGTAGCACAGACATGGTCGCGTAACATCCCATTGCAAACGCTCACGGAGGACAAGATCGAAACCTATGACTGCATGGTCACTGCTTCCCAGAGGAGTCATGATCTGGACCTTTTCGACGAGTAGCTGGTCACTAGTTAGAATATAATCTAGTTTTGATGACTTTCCACTAGGGCCCCACCTAGTGTCGTCTCCAACATTCTCAGTCAGTCCCGTGTTTCGAATAGTTTGCAGTAGGTTTCGGCCAAATTTTCCCTTAGCACACCCGGAGCCGAGGTTCAGTGATGGAGCATTGAAATCTCCAGCTATGGTGATTTGGTCGTAGCCCAAATCTCGTATTCCTGTGATAGTGCTGAGCAGTAGCTGATTGTGCTCTGCCCCACAGGTGGGAGATCGGTAGATGCCACCCAGTAAGTGCTTGGTGTGGCCTACGGTGAAATGACACCATATGGAGTCTGGGAGTTCGATAAGTGGTGGGTCCGTTGCGCGCACACATTTAAGTCATTACACAGTACATTAGACAGTCAAAATCCTGAAAAAGATTCCCCCTCATTCCCTTCAGACCCGTATCGGTATGTCCATAATTTTCCAAGTGTAACACTAGATAAATTACAGTTAGAAGCATTATCATTGGGTCCTAGATTTTGTGACCAAGGGTATAAGGTCAATCAACTCGATACCAACATCCAGTTTGAAAACTTCCTCCTACAAACGAAAGATTTAACCCCAACATCAGACGATGAAGTCGCCAGGTTCAAAACAACACTAGTCGACAGCTGTCAACAGTATAAAAAAAACAATAGTCATTCTAGTAAGAGTTTACTGACTAAACAGCATCGAGAAGCCCTAAGAAAGTTAAGGAACGATGAAAGCATTATAATCAGTAGACCTGATAAAGGAGACGGAGTAGTATTGATGAATAAGTGTGATTATGTAGACAAAATGAATTCGCTTCTAAATGATGAAACGAAGTTCCAAAACCTTATTAACCCAATAGATCTGGACGGAAAGGCTGAAAAGCAGTTAACCTAATTTATTTATTTATTGAATTGTCTACATATATGCATATACTAACTTTGTTATTCTTATCACCTATATAAGCCTTATTAACAATATTTTGTTATTATTATAATCATCGCTATTAACTTCGTTCAAAACATTTACCACATTATTATTACTATCGTTATTATTATTTTTATTATTATGATTACTATTATTATTTGATCCACTAAATCACCGTCATTGGTTAAAATTTTATATATATAAGTCTATGTAAATTAGAGTAAAGCCTGAAGAAGATCTAATTGAAAACAATATTGTTCGCTTATATATCTTGTTCTAATATTATAAATGGGAATATTTAAAGATTTGAAATCACGTGTGGATCCCAGTGCATTAAAGGCACTCAATGAGTACTTGAAGTATAATGCCAGACTCACGGAAGCGAAAACTTGTTTAGATTTTATAAATGACTGTTTAAATAATAATCGATATCCTAAAATTTACTGGAAATCTCTTCGTCGTAATAAAGTTTATCCAAATTCCCGATCACTGAAACGTTATGCACTTAACCAATTGGACTCTTTAAAAATGTACATTTCGGATATGGAAAGAAATTTATCACAGAAGAAATATGCAGTCGATGAACTTCCTCAGGATT